TTCCGGTTTCCTGACTTCCCCCTCCTCCTGCAGCACCTCAGCCAGAAAGGGGTTGCTCTGCGCAACTTCTCTCTGGAGCTCCTGAGCCTGCCTGGGCGGGTTCCAGGCAGGCGGGGACCTAGACTGAACCTCACATGTCCCCTCTTTAGAGCTTGGGCCTGGTGGACAGGAACAACGAGCCACTCACCCATGCCATGTACAACCTGGCCTCCTTGCGTGAGCTGGGTGAGACCCAGCGCCGGCCATGTACCATCCAGGTGCCTGAGCCCATCCTCCGCAAGATAGAGACCTTCCTGAACCACGTAAGAGAGCCCCTCTCGTCCCCATCTCCATCCACCTGCCCACTCCAGACTGTATGCTTCCACCTGCAACAGGCAGTGGTCACGCCCCACTTCCAGACTGGGATTGGGGCCTGGGAGCACCTTTCCCCCCAGCAACCCAGCCTTGCCTGTGAGCGTCCCCAGGGCTGTCATGGACTGAAGTCATCTGGGCCACAGTGTGTGACCCGTGAATCACGTGGAGAGGGACTGGGTGCAAGTGAGGAAGAAGGTATTTTTCTTTGACCACGTTGCTTGCCTCCCCTGTCCCCCAGTACCCGGTGGACAATTCATGGATCTCCCCAGAGCTCCGGCTGCAGAGTGATGACATCTTGCCCTTGGGGAAGGACTCTGGGCCCCTGAGTGACCCTATCACGGGCAAGCCCTACACACCCCTGTCGGAAGCAGAGGAGGTGCGCCTGAGCCAGAGTCTGCTGGAGCTGTGGCGGCGGCGAGGGCCCATCTGGCAGGAAGCCCCCCAGCTCCCCGTGGACCCGCATCGGGACACCATCCTCAGTGCCATTGAGCAGCACCCGGTGGTGGTTGTCTCTGGGGACACGGGCTGTGGGAAGACCACGCGCATCCCCCAGCTGCTGCTGGAGCGCTACGTGACTGAGGGGCGCGGCGCCCGCTGCAACGTGATCATCACCCAACCACGCCGCATCTCGGCCGTGTCTGTGGCACAGCGGGTCAGCCACGAACTGGGCCCCACCCTGCGCCGCAACGTGGGCTTCCAGGTGCGGCTGGAAAGCAAGCCCCCAGCCCGAGGCGGGGCCCTGCTCTTCTGCACGGTGGGCATCCTGCTGCGGAAGCTGCAGAGCAACCCCAGCCTGGAGGGGGTGAGCCACGTGATCGTGGACGAGGTGCACGAGCGGGACGTGAACACGGACTTCCTGCTGATTCTGCTCAAGGGCCTGCAGCGGCTCAACCCAGCCCTGCGGCTGGTGCTCATGAGCGCCACAGGTGACAACGAGCGCTTCTCCCGCTACTTCGGCGGCTGCCCTGTCATCAAGGTGCCTGGCTTTATGTACCCTGTCAAGGAGCACTACCTGGAGGACATCCTGGCCAAGCTGGGCAAGCACCAGTACCCACACCGGCACCGGCACCATGAGGTGAGGGGCGTGTCCACTTTGGTCCACCCAGGGCTCTCGGCCTTTCCTCTCTGTCCCTGGGGCCTGGTGGCCTGTGGTGAGTGACCTGTTCCGAGCCTTGATTTTCTCCATAGAAACAGAATGATGGGGCCTCGGTGCTAGGGTGTGGTGAGGGTTGAAGGTGACGTGTCAGGTGCCTCGGCCTCACTGAGTCCCTCGCCCCGGGGCTGTGACTGTGGCCTCTCTTTCCCCACCCCAGTCCGAGGACGAATGCGCACTGGATTTGGACCTTGTGACCGATCTGGTTCTGCACATTGATGCTCGTGGGGAGCCAGGTGGGTGCCGCCCCTGCCCGTGCCCACCCTGACCCTGCGTGCTGGGAGCCACCACTCACGCCTGCAGGTTCCTTTCCAGGTGGGATCCTCTGCTTCCTGCCTGGCTGGCAGGAGATCAAAGGGGTGCAGCAGCGCCTGCAGGAGGCCCTGGGCATGCACGAGAGCAAGTACCTCATCCTGCCAGGTGAGATCCCTGTGCTGGCCTTCACGGCCCCCAGCTGCCCCTCGCCCTCTGTCCGGGGGAGTGACCCAACTGGGACTCGCGGGGCCGGGGCTTCTGACCAGACCGCAGTCCTTGACGGCTCTGCTGCCTTTCCTGGGCACGCCGACCCGGGCCTCGCTGTCACAAGCCGGGCGGAAGTCCCTGCCCGTAACTGGTGCGTGCTTGCTGCCCCCCAGTGCACTCCAACATCCCCATGATGGACCAGAAGGCCATATTCCAGCAGCCGCCAGTCGGGGTGCGCAAGGTGGTCCTGGCCACCAACATCGCCGAGACCTCCATCACCATCAACGACATTGTGCACGTGGTGGACAGCGGGCTGCACAAGGAGGAGCGCTATGACCTGAAGACCAAGGTGGCCCCACCCCCGGCCCACCAGCCCCCAGCGAGCAGCTCCAGGTTCTGGGCCGCCCTGGCCCCGGTCAGGGTCAGCCCCAGGGTCACGCCTGCCATGCGTGTCTGGAGAAGGCTGCGCTCCGGGTGCCGTGTGCCTGTTGGGGCGAGGGAGCTGTTGGGGGTTAGGTGAGGGGGGCGGCCAGGCACGGGGGAGCACTGAGGAAGGCCTGTGGCACCCCAGTCACCGCTCGCCTGCCCCCTCCCCAGGTGTCCTGCCTGGAGACCGTGTGGGTGTCACGAGCCAATGTGATCCAGCGCCGGGGCCGGGCAGGCCGCTGCCAGTCGGGCTTTGCCTACCACCTGTTCCCGAGGAGCCGCCTGGAGAAAATGGTCCCCTTTCAGGTGCCGGAGATCCTGCGCACGCCCCTTGAGAACCTGGTGCTGCAGGCCAAGATCCACATGCCTGAGAAGACGGTACACCAGGGTGCGGCATGGGGGGGCTGGCCTCGGGGACGGCGGGTGGGACACAGGCTCACAGGGCGGGGGCTCTGCTGCGTCCTCACTGCAGGCTGTGGAGTTCCTTTCCAAGGCGGTGGACAGCCCCAACATCAAGGCGGTGGATGAGGCCGTGATCTTGCTCCAGGAGATCGGTGAGTGGGCGGGTCCGGGCTGGGCCGCAGAGGGGCCGGCAGGGTGGGCCTGACAGCTGGGCTGTTGCAGGGGTGCTGGACCAGCGGGAGTACCTGACCACTCTGGGACAGCGCCTGGCCCACATCTCCACCGACCCCCGGCTGGCCAAGGCCATAGTGCTGGCTGCCATCTTCCGCTGCCTGCACCCGCTGCTGGTGGTCGTTTCCTGCCTCACCCGGGACCCCTTCAGCAGCAGCCTGCAGAACCGAGCGGAGGTGGACAAGGTCAGACCCATCCCGCCCCCCGGCCCCCCCTCGCAGCCCTTCACCACCTCCTGTCCCGAGGTGGCCCCTTGTAGCCTCTCCCCGTGATGCCCCTCCCCTCCCAGGTGAAGGCACTCTTGAGCCAGGACAGCGGCAGCGACCACCTGGCCTTCGTGCGGGCTGTGGCCGGCTGGGAGGAGGTACTGCGCTGGCAGGACCGCAGCTCCCGGGAGAACTACCTGGAGGAGAACCTGCTCTACGCACCCAGCCTGCGCTTCATCCACGGTGAGAGGGGCCCCCTGCTGGGTCTCCAGCCCCTCACCCCTCTCCCCTGCACTGGGCTTCAGGGGCCCCCAAATCTGCCTCCCCAGGACTCATCAAGCAGTTCTCCGAGAACATCTACGAGGCCTTCCTGGTGGGGAAGCCCTCGGACTGCACGCTGGCCTCGGCCCAGTGCAACGAGTACAGCGAGGAGGAGGAGCTGGTGAAGGGCGTGCTGATGGCGGGTCTCTATCCCAACCTCATCCAGGTGCTGCCTCAGGGAGGGACTGACCGGGCCCAGCCCCCTTCCCCATCCCTGGCTCCTTGCTTAGCTCTGCCTTCTTTCCCATCATCTCTCCAGGTGAGGCAGGGCAAGGTGACCCGGCAGGGCAAGTTCAAGCCCAACAGTGTCACATACAGGACCAAATCAGGCAACATCTTGCTGCACAAATCGACCATTAACAGGTGGGAGACAGGCAAGGCTGGGCAGGGCAGCTAGGATGGGCCCAAAAGGGTAGCTTCACCCAGCCCTTTATTTCCCAGGGAGGCCACAAGGCTACGGAGTCGATGGCTGACATATTTCATGGCTGTCAAATCCAACGGCAGCGTCTTCGTCCGGGACTCCTCCCAGGTGCACCCACTAGCTGTGCTGCTCCTGACTGACGGGGACGTCCACATCCGTGGTGGGTACCCGCAGACCTCCGCCCCTGCTCACTGCCCCATGCAGGCTGGCTTGTCCTCCAGGGCCTGGCCTCACCTGGGCTACCACCCTTTCCTTCCCCCCAGACGATGGGCGCCGGGCCACCATCTCACTGAGTGACAGTGACCTGTTGAGGTTGGAGGGTGACTCCCGCACCGTGCGGCTGCTGAGGGAGCTACGCCGGGCCCTGGGCCGCATGGTGGAGCGGAGCCTGCGCAGCGAGCTGGCCGCCCTGCCCCTCGAGGTGCAGCAGGAGCACGGGCAGCTGCTGGCCTTGCTGGCAGAGCTGCTGCGTGGGCCCTGTGGCAGCTTCGATGTGCGCAAGTCCGCTGACGACTGAGCCCTGCCACCGCCGGGCTGTGTACAGAGTGCAAATGTTTATTTAAAATAAAGTTCTATTTATCCCTTGTGAGCATTGCTCTCCGCTGGGGGCTCCTCTCTCGGGGCCTCAGCACCCTCGACGGTGGGGCATAGGCTGTGGCCCAAGGTCTTTGGAGGAAGTGGGTGGGAACCCACTCCCTCAAGAACTTAACCATCCGTGAGTGCTGTCAACCAGCTTGCACTCTTGGGCCAGCTGAGTCTGTCACGGCTGTTCCTAGAGGTAGACTGTCACAGTGGTCACTGTCCTTGCAGATCGGGACTCAAGTGTTGAGCAGCATCGTCCTGGGGCTGTGGTCTGGTCTGGCTGCCACCTCCCAGCCAGCCCAGGCAAATGGGGAAGCTCTGCGACAGCCAGGGCTCTCTGGACCTAGTGCTGCAGGTCGTGCGGCTCACCTGCCCCTCAGTGTCATGGGGGTGGGGGTGGGCAGCATGGTGGAGACAAACCAGCACATACAGGAGGCAAGGCCTGCGTGGTGGGACATCATGAGCTTTATTTACTCTTAAAATGGTTACAACAGAATCACAGACATAGGTAATGGCTGAGCCATAAGCAAACCAGGCAGTACCGAAACGTCCCACTCCCACACGGCTGCAGGGCAGGCAGTACATAGCACACGGGCCACCCAGCGCTGTCCCACCTGGGTCACCTGCCCCACCCCTGCCCCTGGCTAAGGGAGCGGAAGGAGCCAGAACCCGTGCTCAGCCAGCAGCCTCTATGGTGGATAAACACAGGGAGGGCCCCGCCCCCCACGGCTTCCTTGTCCCCAGCTTCATCCTGCCCCTTCCTCACGATGACAACCATGGGCGCCCTGATCTCCCTGTGCTGTGGTGCATTCTAGAGACAGTCTGGCTCTGGAAGCACTTTCTCTCCAAGACCCAACAAGTTCTTGGTACACACTTGGGAACTGGGGACTTGGGGGCAAACCTCTCCACAGCAAAGGCTACCACCGTGGAAAGGGGAGAGCGGCTCCACCCAGACTCGCCCCCCCACAGGAGGATATCCAATATGAAGCTTCTCCCAGGGCCCTGCCTGAGCTCGGAGGGCGGGGGCCCAGGCCACACCGGGGACAGTGCTCTTGCAAGGAGCCCTAGGACTCCCAGGCCATTTCACTACAAACTGGTAGGTTTTAATCCTTTATTAGAAACCATGCAAACTTTAATACAAAAAATACAAGTGCGGTAAGAATCTTCGTGTCAATATGATTCCCGGGATTGGGCCTCACTGCAGCCACCCCTAGCGGGGCCTCGCTGGCACGCCCTCCACAGGCTGGCCTCGCTCGCTGGCCTCCCTCTCCCCTCCAGTCAAGCTGTCGGGGACGGGAATGGCTTGTCTCATGCCTTTATTTTTAAATTTCCCGACCTGATTCTCCAATACCCACACGAGGTCTGAGCATCTCGGGCTCCCTGGGAGCTGAGGGCTTGAGTGTCCTTGGCGGACAGGCCTGGAGGACTTTGACCTCCACAACCCAGCCCTGACCTCGCATCTCCCACCAAATCCCAGGAATGAGACAGACAGATGCCAAAACCAGCCTCTTGGTTAGAAAAGAAAAGCAGCATACACACAAAATGCCAGAACCACCAGCGCACACTCTGAGCAGCCTCCAGCCTGCTCCACCTGCTCACCGGCCACGCCCGGCACGCCCCCTGCCCCGTACACATCCCCGCCAGGACCATGCCTGACCTCCTGGCTGGAGGCTCACGAATCTCCCCTCCCTTTTTCCTTTAACACCTACTGAGAACTTTCATTCAGACATGACTTCAACCTGCAAAACTACTCCACCAGTTTTTAGGTTATTTTTTAAAAAAGGGGATAAAACAAGAAAAAAAAATGACAGCAGCTAGGCAGGTATGGGAGGCAGTGGGGACAGGCAGCACTGGCGCCTAACTAACTTGGGGCAGGGTAGCAAGAGGCGTCTGGCACCACCCGCATGGTGGGCACTGCTGTGGGGTCGAAGGGAGAGGCAGTGACTCGGCAAGCTCTGGGGGACACAGGGCTGGGCCATCACGTGGACACTGCACTCTTCCCTTCGGGTGGACCCAGGAGGAGGGAGGGTATGTCAGTTTCTCTTGGGTTTGGTCCAAAAAACCCAAACAAAGAGGAGGTTGGAATCCGGTTCCTTCCTCTTAGCTCCCCGAGATCCCACATTAGGCTCCCACCCCACGCCCCCCCAAGCTCCCCCCGCCCCAGCAGTGACGCAGTGAGGATGATGGGCCAGGAGCAAAGCAGGGGCCCGGCCTGGGGCAAGGAGTGGGAAAAGGTGTGGGGACTGCTGCTGCCCTAGGCAAGCGAAGCGGGGGTGGGAGTGTGGGGGTGGGGTTAAGGCCCTAGAGGGCTGCCCAGCACCCAAGGGGTCACAGGTCTAGTGGGCCACCCGGAGGAGGGAACCAAGGGCCCGGATGCCTGAGCTGGGGCCACCAAGAAAATGGGGGGGGCGGGAGACAATGTCGGCCCCGTGGTCGGTGCGGGCCCTGGCGTTTGCCCGGAACGTCAGCCTGTAGGTCTCAATCTGCAGTGACACGGGAGGGGGGAAGGGAGAGGGTAACAAAGGAGACACGAGGGGCAACAAAGGGGACGGAAGACGAGACCAGAATGTCATCATTAGATGCCTGGAAAAATAAAAGGTTGCTTCGTTAAAATTTAGGCCACACTCTAGTCAAAAAACAAAGGAGTTTCAATTTGCAGCCAGTGGCAGGGACCCTGGCTGGCCCCTAGGCCAAGCCCAGCCACTTACTTGTCTCCTGGATCTGGCAGTCCAAGGTCTGGGCCTCCCTTTGGTCACCACCCCCTGCCAGGGTGGTGTGGCCATTGAGGCCACTGGCTGATGTGGGGGCGCCAGCTTCGGGCACTGCCTCGGGGATGGCCGGCTCCTCCCCAGCAGGGGGGCCCGGACACGGAGGGGCCTCGCTGCCACCGCCCTCAGTCTACAATGAAACAGTGGGGGAGACAGTGCAGGGTCAGTCCGAGAGGGAGTGGGATGGGTGATGGTGACGGGTTTTACACGCAGCCCCCCACCCATGCTGCCCCTGCCCCCCTCTAATTAAGGTGCGGTCATCTAGAGACTCTAGGCCAGGTGCTCCCCACCCACGGCGGGTGGCCTGGCACAGAGCAGGGGGGCAGGCTCTGGGCGGGGAGCCTCCTCTGAAGCACAAGGCTTTGGGAAGCCTCTCTGAGGGGACAGACGCCGGGCTCCCCACCAAGGCCGACACCGGGCAGGACAGCAGCTCTGACCACAGACCATGAGCACAGGCCTGAGAGGCCGTCTCCTGATGGCAGGTCTGGGCTTGGCTGGGAAGCGATGGTGCCGCAGGCAGGTTAGGGTTAGAAAAACCATTCCAGAAACAGTCAAGAAAGGACACTTACGTGAATTAAAAACCCCCACAAGACATGGGGTCAGAAAAGCCAAGTGTGAACCTTGGTCTGCATGCACTTGCCCCCACGGCCTTGGACAGGCCGAGACAGCACCCCATAGAGACAGACCAGAGTGCGGTGGGGGCAGGGACAAGGGCGCGACAGAACCAGGACCCCGAATGCTCATGGAGGCTGGCTGGGCCTAAATCGGTGCTGGAGGGTGGGGGGGACGTGGGACCAAGGAAAGGGCTGCACTGGGCTGGCCCGGCCGGGCACGCAGGTGTCGAGGGGAGGATCCCCTCTACTCGCTCTCCTTCCCCTGCAGCTACCCTCAGGCACAGAAGCCCACCAACGACATGGGACACAGGACAGATGGCCTCTGGGCACACAGAGGGTCTCACAGGACTGTGGAAGGAGGGAGGCAGGGAAGGCCAGAGGGAGGGCAGGGAGGGGAGACCTAGTCGGTCTGGAGAGGGGAAGCTCTGTCCCGAGCGCGCTGGCGCTCTCCCACGGGTAGTCCCTCCAGAGGCAGGCGGACACCTGGCCCACTGTCACTGGTAGGAAAATGTCCTGTTCTGCTCCCAGGCCTGGAGCATGTACCCACAGTCCTCTATCACGAGGCAGGTGGGGACAACTGTAGCGTGTGGACCACACCCGCCTTGGGGTGGCCTGCGCCCCAGCCCGCAGTCCCTCGGAGACTGGATGAGGTGAGCACAGACAGTAAGGGAGGCCATGGCTCCCGGAAAACGCCCTGTCTGCAGCCGGGCTCTCTTCCCCTCTCCTGCCTCGCCCAGGACTGACGATGGATGATGGGGAAACAGCAATGGTGTCGCGGGAACATGACTCTGAAGAGACTGAGGGGCGGTGACAGCACCCACTAGGTGGGATCAGAACCCACTGAACACCCTGTCCCTCCCCAGCTTCGTCCCCTTGGAGGCCCACTCGCTACCTTCACGGCACCTCCTGCGGGCAGGTGCCCCACGTTATCCAGCGATCCCACCTTCGCCTGGGCCTTCTCCTTGAAGTTCAGCTTCTGACTTTCGATCTTGACATCTCCTCCACCTAAAACAGAGAAGGTGCCGGTGGCTAAGGTGGCGGTGGCAGAGAAACAGCCCTGCAAGCAAAGCCAGGGGTCGGAACAGGCACCCCAGCACGACCGGGGACTGGCCAGTGCCCGATGTGGAAATGGGGAGACCGACCGCTCCTGATGGCTCCAAGGGACACGAGGGGGCCGAGAGCATGCTTGTCAAAACGACTGCTTCTCTTCAAGTCAGGCTGAGGCCATCTCTCCGTGGGGAAGTCACCCCGCACCCCATAGCCCACAGCCGCACAGCTGCCGGCCAGGCTGGGCAGGCCCGGAGCAAGGAGCACAGCCCCCAGGGTGCCCCGTCCACCTCCGGGTCTCTGGGCACGTGGCAGCTCCTCTGGGTGGGCCGTTCGGTGCAGCCGGCCTCCTTTCAGCCGCACAAATGCCCTGTCCACCAGGGACAGGGTCCTTGTTCTACAGCCGCTAGCACAGATGCTGGGCAAAAAAGTTGCTACTCCGAAGTCAACACCTAGCTAGTGACGGGCAGTGACAGGACGGAAACGTGAGCGGTCTGTGCAGTTTAACCAGATCACGCTGTACTGACAAGAAGGAAGGGCCAAGGGCCTGGGGCCTGGGGGGAGGTGGTCCGTACGCTGGGCAATGTTCAGAGCTCACAGGCCACAGGGTGGAGGGCCGACCTACCCCCACACGGCCCTGGAGTGTGGCTTCCCTTTGAGCCTTTCTCTGACTCCTCTACCTCCTCTCAGCTCATGTCACAAACCTCAACACTGTGTCTGCAACAGTGGGGTCTCAGCCCCGCGCCCCAGCAAACACTGGTCCTGGCGACACCCGGGGCCTCTAGGGAAGGAGGTTCTCACAAGGATGGATTTGCCAGGTCAAATGGGCAAGGACAGCTCAGGGCTGAAGTGTTCCCACCTTTTTTTCAAAGCTTTTATTTATTTACTTTTAGAGAGAGGGGAAGGGAGGGAGAAAGAAACATCAATGTGTGGTTGCCTCTCACGTGGCCCCCACTGAGGACCTGGCCCGAAACCCAGGCATGTGCCCTGACTGGGAATCGAACTTGCAACCTTTTGGCTCGCAGCCCGCACTCAATCCACTGAGCTACACCAGCCAGGGCGCATTCCCACCATTTTAAAGGAACACATTCTGACACGGATGACGGTTTTGCTGGGAGGGAGGGAGTTTTATTGGCCTTCACCCTAACTGGTCCTCAGTGACCCACCCCCGAGAGACGCCCGCCCACGCTGAACCCTGGCCCTCGGGCTGGGGGCTGACACCGTGCTGCTGGGGAGGCCCTTTGCTCCGGTACCTGACGGGTGCCCCGGGCCACTCCCTGGAGCCCCTTCAGCTAGTGTGAGGCCCCAGGCCACGCCTCTCCCCTGGGTCTCGGTCAGCAGCAGCAACACAGAGCCCATCCTTAGGACGAGGCCCACGCAAACGGCAGCCTCTCCCATCTGCTCCTCCTCCCACCGAGCACTCAGCACCCTGAGACCCACGTGCCCCGAGACCCACTCCCTGACAGGGACCGAGGTCTGTGCTGTTCTACCGCTCTGTCCGGGGTGGGGGTGGCCCCGGAATTTTTATGGAACAACTAAGACAGAGTTGTTCCTAAAACCCAGGTGCTCGAGGGAGACACACTCACCAGGCTTGTGCTTGATGTTGGCCTTGGACCCGCACTTGGAGGAGACTTTGGAGATGTCCACCTTCTTGTTCTGAATCTGAACCTGAAGAGAAAAGAACAAAGATATTGCTTCAGAGACACAGCATCTTTGTATTATTCTTCTCCACATTCAAGTTTTTCCTCTCCCTTGTAAGCTCCTATCTTAGCCTGTTCAAGGTCATGGTCACCTCTCAAAGTGCTTACCAGAGCCCTTGATCCATCCTGGCCCTGTGTGCAGCTTCTGACCCCACCTCCAGCCAGACCAAGCCATAGCCCCTGCCTCCAACCCAGCCAGGCATGCGCCAGGCAGCTCTTCTCCCACATTTCTGGACCCCAATCTCCTGAAACACCCGTCTGTTCCACCTCACATCCCACCCATCCACTCCCTGCGCAGAGATAAACCACAGTGACGTTCCAGCATGTTTTCCCCTGGTCCCTCCCAGTGCATCTCTCCCTCAGGGCCAACAGCACAGATACCCATCTTTCTCTAGGCACCGAGTTAGGGAAGAGGGCCGGCGGACTCTGACGCCCGCCCGCAGGCACCTCGGGAAGAGTCTCCGTGCTAGGAGGGGGCATGTCTTTAACCCAGGAGAGGACACCTGCAGACAGCAGCTCCTGCTGTGCCCCCAGATGGGGACCACAGCATAGTCACGAGTGACCCAGAGGCTCCGTGGCTGTGCAAGAGCCTGGCTTTTCCATGCAGTGGAAAACTCCTCCACACATGGCCCACAGAGCCCTGCCAACAGGTGCACATGAGGTGGGCTTTCAGCACAGTGCCATTTAACCAGCTCCTTTGCAGAACCCCGTCTTCCTCCTTCCGTGTCAGCTCGCACGGTCTCCACCAGAGAGCAGACGTGCTGTCTGCTCTGTGTTCGCGTTCCCACCTGCAGCCCCTGGCTGGCTCAGCGCAAGTCCCACAATCCTCAGCTTGCCTGAGCCATCCTCACACACTCCTGCTTGCTCGCTCTCTCTCTTTTGGTAAAGCCTTTCACATAGTTTCCTTTTAGCTTAGGGGAGAAGAGCTTTTCAAGTTCTGAGATGATCTCTACTAACCTTTCCATTCATCCTGCCCAATTTTATCTTGTGCACACAAATGAATCTGGAAGTACCTGGGGGTCCTGACCTCGCCGTCTGAGTACTGGTGGGATGCCCGGTCAGCTGTGAGCATCCGCACTCGCGCTGTTGGAACTCTGCTCGTGCTGCTCCCTGGCCCACAAGCCCGCCGCGTTTCCTGCCTTCCCCTGAGCCCGGCTCAAAGGCTGCCTTCTCCAGAGCCTTCCCTTGCTCAGCTTCCCTCCACCTCATCACCCTTGAACTGCAGCAGTAACCACTGGGCACCAAACGGCTCTGCACATTCAACAACACCCTCTCCTAAAAACACACAAGAGCTTCACAAATCTGGGTTGCCCCCCCGCACAGGGCCACGCCAGTCTTCCCTGTGTCGCTCCAATGTCAGTGTGTGCGCTGCCAATGCAGGTGCCCACCGCCATCAAAACGACAGCCTCTGCTTTGTCTCGTCATCCCCACTGGCTGCCCTTCTCCCTGCACAGGACGACGGGAAGTTGCCCGTTTCCCAGCTAAAGACGTGGCAGCTGCTCGACCCAAGCTCATCGTGCACGGTCCCCAAGACCACTGGTGGATGACCGAGACCACAGCGTTCTGCCCTCGAAGCCTCCACTGCTTTACCTCTTGCCTCGTCCCCAGGTAAAGAGCAGGTGACGAGGGGAAGTTTCCCTGCACTGACGTATTCCAGCCAGTAAACGCCGGAGGGACTGGGAGCTGGGTGCCAAGAGTCCACAAAATCACAACGAGGGAAATAACTGGAAGAGTTATTTCCAGTTATAGAAATGCTGCCTGATAGAACCACCGCCCTGACTATGAACGTCCGGTAACAATGTGGGAAGAGACAAACAAACCTGAATCAACGTAAAGAAAATGGAAGGACAAAGAAACATGTTAAATGGGCCCCTGGCTGGTGTGGCTCAGAGGACTGAGCGCGGGCCTGCAAAGCAAAGGGTCACCAGTTCGATTCCCAGTCAGGGCACAGGCCTGGGTTACGGGCCAGGTCCCTGATGGGAGTCACACAAGAGACAACCACACATCGATGTTTCTCTCCCTGCCCTTCTCCTTCCTTTCCCCTGTCTCTAAAATTAACTATCTAACTAAATAAATAAAAGAGAAACACATTAAATGGGGCTACAAGCAGCAGAACCCTGACTTTAGGACAAACCCCTTGGTTCCCTCGTGAACAACATCACCACGAAAACGAACCCGACAGCCAGGCTGCAGGGCCAGAGAGACCTCCGATGACAAGGGACAAGAGGCTTCCCACCAATCGCAATTTGTGGGCCCTGCTGCATCCTGGGTCAAACAAGCAAACCCGAGTCACGTGTCCGTGCACCTCGCTGCAGTCAGTGCACGTGTGCACGTGGAAGTTCTCATCTTTCCAAGCCGCGCAGTGGAGTGTCTGCGGATGGAGAATTCACCTAGGCTGGCTCCAGAATAACCAAGCTGAGCATGTAGAGGTGAGACTGGCCACAAATGAACAAGGCTGGGTCTTGTTTAAGTAAAAAGTCCATTTCACTGTTTTATCGACTTTTGGGTGTTTGAAAATTTCTGTAATGAAAAGTTTTGAAAAGCTTCACTGCCTCCCCAGGCCTCCTCTTTCCTCTCCTGGCTACTGGCCTCCCCGCCGGGCTCCAGCTTCAGGGGCCACGTGCTGCCTCACTGGCCTCGGACGGGGGCTTCGAGGGCTGGCCCACGGGTCGCCTCCCCGGGTAAGCTGACACCCAGCAGAAACCGTGCCCTGACGGAGCCCGCATCTACCCCACCTGGCTGTAGCCAGGTACAAGTCACCACTGGTCCGTGATGCCCGTGGACCTAGTGCTACTGAAACGACCCTGCCGCCGGGTCTGGGAACCCATGACACATACACACCCACTTTCGAGGGTGAAATGGGCTTCAAACTGCTGCAACTTTTAAACTTGGAATCGGATCGGCCGGAAGTACCTGCTAAGTTCCCTCCCCACATCCTCCTGGCTCCTGACAAGGGTGTGTCTGTGGGGGAGGCGCCGTGAGGCACTAACTCCCACTGGGGCTGCAGTGGGAGACCCGCTTAGATGGGTGACGCCAGGCCCCCTGCACAGCAGGCCCGTACTTCCTGGGCCGCACGCCTGTTTGTGTGGCCTTCCAGCCCTCCGGTGCTTCGAAGGAGCGAGGACACCTCCACCTGGGATGTTTATTCTCATCATCCCACCTGCAAACAAGGCTCATGGGTGGGACCTGAGCACCCTGCATTTCACAGGAGCTTCTGAAAATGGAAGTGCTTTTACAACGCACACCCCGCCCGCCCCACTTGCTGATGTGCTGTGCAGACCAGACACACGATTATTTCCAGGGCTCTTGCCTACATCACACAACACACACAAACGCATCTCCACGGGACACACACACAGCACCCCCGACGACTCTGAATCCCAGTCCACCTTCTGTTTTCAGTGGGCCAAAACCTTGAGGAAAAGAGCGAGGGCCAGAGCTCCACCCGGGCGCCCCTGGGCAGGACCTGTGCCAGACACTGCCTTTGAAAGCCGCACCCACTTCAGCCGATCCCATACCAGGTTGGCTAACATCTGGCCAACGACCATACTGGTCAAGCACATCCCACCTGAAGGCAAAGCCACGGCTCCTGCCCATGCGTGGGAGCAGCCCCCGGTGAGAGGTGACTGGGAGGGAAGTATAGTGAGGAGGGCTGTAAGGGGCAAGAAAGAGGTCACCATGGCTGCATTCCCCATGACACGGACCTGGGGAAGGGGGTGAACAGGACGGCATGACCACCCAGTGGACAGGTGAAGGGCAGGAGCTGCCCGTGGATGGTTCCCCAAAATGCCCCTGGCCCACGCTAGAGTCCCGGGGGCCCACACGTTGTCACAGGGACACATGGCAAACACACAGGACACTCTTTACACACCAACGGACAATGATACTTGTCCCTGTCTCTCCCTAGACCAGGACCGCTCTGCGCACTGGAGCCCTGTGTCCCCAACACAGATCTTTGGGCTGGCACAGAAGGGCAGCATGACAGTGTCTGGATAGAGCAGGGAAAGGGACAGAAACAAAGGAGGGGAGAGGGAGTAAAAGAGGGAGGAACTAGAAAAGGCAAAAGGTTGAAAAGCGATGGGAAAGGAAAGGGGAAGGCTGGGAGAGGGGCGAGCAGGAGGCAACAAAGACGGGAACCGTGCGGAGCGGGGAAGAGGAATGAAGAAGGGAACCGTGCGGAGCGCCCCGGGTCGAAAAGAAAGAGCGGGGCGGACTTGGGAGGATGTGGACCTCCGCTGTGCTCGGAGCGGTGCAGACAGAGGCACAAATCCCCACGAGCAGACTCAAGAGAAGCCGCAGCCCGCTGCTGACCACTGCCCTCAGACCAGGCCTCTGACCCAGCCACAGGGGAAGTGACGACCCCCGCCCCCAGGGCTGGCAAGATGCTGAGTGAGCCAAGTGGCCTGCCAGCCGGGGTCCTGTCAGCTCAGGCAGGTGGCCCCCGCCCCAGAGTGCCCCACAGTGGACTGGGCCTCAGATGCCAGGTGTCCAGAGCTGATACTTACATTACCACCTCCAGGGACATGCTTAATATTGTCCTTGGAACCACACTTGGACTGAATATGGCTGTAGTTCAATTTTTTGGAGACTATCTGGACCTGGAGTGTTAGAGAACAGAAAAAAACAACACAAAGGGAGAGGGCTGGTTAGAACTGACACAGGGCAGGCAGTGAGGCCACACGTGACCACGATGACCGACACAGAGTGCCGCCGAGACTCCGCCCACCTCCAGCAGAACAGCTGTGGAAGCACAGAGAAAGGGATCTGAAGGAGCAGGAAGGGGGTGAAAACATGAACCAACAACACAAGGACAGAAGCAGATGTAGTGAAGGTGCTACACAGTCGTCACCACTGCTCTTTAGAGGCTGGGCTGTGGTTCGCAAGCCTGACAGCAGCCGGCCCCAGGCACCCACCCCGCCAGGGCCCTGCCGCCCCCTGCCTGCTCATCCGGGCTAGTCCTCACTCAAGGACGGCACTTCCCTTCAATCTGGGGCCTGGGACACCTGCAGCCAGACCCACTCTGGGAGGCAAAGGCTGATGGGAGAAGCACTGGGCAGGTGGCTCACAGAGCACAGATCTGGTACTAAGGGCAAGGAAGGGACACTGATAAACTGTGCTGGACCTGCCATGCACAATCCTGGACACCAGGGGGCGCGCAGGCTGCAGCCTGGGCTGCTTCCTCAAGTAGCCCACTCATCGAGGGCTCCAGAACACACAGCACAACTGAGGGTTAGGTCAAGTCTCCTGACTCAAGTGTAAAACACAGTCTTGAATCACCCAGGTGCCCACGCCTGTATCCTGGGAGAGTCACGTGCCAAGAAGCCAGCCAGGGCTGCAATGATGCACAGCCCAGGGGCACAGCACATGGAACTACACACAAATGGCTCCCCTTGGAATGCAGCCACACAAAGGCCCAGGCTCTAAGGGCTGGAACAAAGAATTCTTCTGGAGCCTTCTCAAGAAGGAACAGCTGCCAGCTTCCTTCCTTCCTTCCCTTTGGAGCCCTTTGCAAATGACACAGCTCCCAAACTGAAGAGTTCTCCACGGAGTACAGAAATCCACCCCGAGAAACTCCAACCTAGGGAGGCAACTCACTATTTCTTGCCGTCTTCACAAACCACTTTGTAATAAGCCCTGGTCTGAAGCAAAGACCTACAGGACCTCAAAATGTTTACCCAGGAGCCGAGGTGCAGGCTTCCTCACCTTGCTGACTGTACCAATTCCTTGGCTGAGACCCATCCTGGAAGCCCTTGGCCAGAGAGACCACCTACCTGCACAGCTAAGGGAAGAAGGTCCCTACAGTAAGCAGGAGGGCCTGGTTCCAGGGTCAGCTAACCTCTGACCTCTAGCTGATGCTGCAGCACCCCCTTCCCCATGCTGGGTGGGTTTTCACTGCAATGAGCATCCTAACTTTCCATTAAGAGGTGACTCGGGGAGCCAGGACAAATGAAGCCACCCCCATGCCCCGCAGTGTTACAAGAGGGACATTTTAGTCCACAGTAAAGCACAGGGTCTGTGGGTTCCAGGTGCCAGAGGTTACCAGTGCCCTGCCTCACTGAGGAGGAACCCCGGTGCTCTGAGCGTGTGAGTATGTGTGCGTAACAGGTGGGTTTCAGCTCAAGGTCATGGGAAGAGACTGAAACTTTTGTATCCACTTTTCCCAGCTAAATAAACAGTCCCCAAAGTGATAATGAGCTCCCAACTGTTAACTTTCAGGATTGATACAAAAAAATTTTCTGATGAATTGTCCAATACCAAGGAGGGCGCACAGGGAGAGGAGCAGAAACTAGTTCAAGGACAGGTAAAAAGTGCACCAGAAGGGAAAGTGACTCAGGCCGGAGGGACAGTTCACCACCTTTTACCTTCCAGAGGTAAAAGTGTAAGCAGAACTCACTTTCCCAGCAGGTGGTCTCTGTGCACTCGCACCTGGGCCAGCTGTTTTAGTGCCTGCGTTAGGTTCAGGTTTTCGGGCTGCAGCAGCTGCCTCTGTTTTTTCCTCTACTTTGGCCTAGATGGAGATAAAGGGAGGGCAAATTTCACACCAAGAGGACAAGAGCCCAAATGTCAAGAGGAAAGAAGCCTGGGGACTCGGATCCAGGCCAGGCCACCAGGCAGAAGCAGGTCACCCTTGCTCCTGGGAGGGGCCACCCATTTCCCAGGGTAGACACAGCCGGAGGGAGGGGCTGCAGGCCAAAGCTCGAGCTGAGCAGGGAGAAGGCACACACTGAGGAGAAGGGGGAAGGAGGGCTCAGCCTGCGATTCTGCCACTTGTGGGTACAGTTACTGTTTTCCAGTAGCATTGCCCTCCCACTCAGACGCTCCACACGCCCCACGGAAGCGGCCACGGTCACGGGGAGCCTGTACCGAAGATGGATGTGGGAACGGAAATGACTGCATTGCCAGACTGAATCGCTCAGCTCCCCACCAAGACCTCCTGCACCTCGCAAGCCTAGCAGGAGCACACAGAGGAAAGACGGGCCGGCGGCACCACGGCCCCGAGGCCTGGCAACACCCAGAGCCACGATCGCCTGGGCCCTTGTCCCAGACCACTCCCGTCTTGCCACCAGGGTCTTCCAAGTGTATCAGGATTCCGTTTCACTTTCCTTCGGTTTTTCACCAGCTCTGGGTTGAAGCGAGGTCATCTCCAGAGATCGGAACTTTGACTTTTGCCACCACCTTTTTCACACACCATGTCCCCATGGCTGCCAACAGTTAACAGTAATGCCAGGATGGATGCAAACAGAAAGGGCCACCGGGCCTCTCCATCACGACACTCTACAGCAGTTCAGCACAGCCACAGGCCTCCACAGGACACCCTCCCTCATCCTCTCTCAGACAGACTTTCCGCCCACCTGCCTCTCCTGCTGCTCACAGTGCAGGCTGAGAACCATGACAGACCAGGTTCACGTCCACTGGATTTCCCCTTAGCAGCCCCAGAGGTCTGCTCTGTTTGTTCATTTTGTGAAGTAGAAGAACTCTTGCCTCCAAGCAAGAATAGAAGCCTAAACCCCTACATACTGAACAGGGTCTCCTCCGATTCCAGTGGAGAGGGCCCAGAGCTCAGTCCACCCCACCCGCCCCTCCTGGCTGCTGGGATGCAGAGCCCAGCTGACACTCCCTGGCACTCCTTGGGACAGGGGTCCCAACCACCCCTCTCTCTGGTGCGCCCTGGGCTGATGTGAGGAGAGGCTTCGGGAACCACGGTGGACATGGCAGGGAAAGAAGCGGGGACCGGCACGCCGAGGACCCACACTCCCCGGACCCACCCGGCCTCCTCCAGGCTGATGCTTGATGTTTTCCGTGGAGCCGACCTTGGCACGAACGTTCCTCAGATCAGGGGCAGAGGCGTTAGTCCCCGGGCGGCTCAGCCTGGGGGCGGAGGAGCTGGACCTGACTGACGTGGTGGGTTTCTTGTCCACGGCAAGAGTCCCGGAAGGCCGGGGGGGCGTGGGTGTGGACTTGACTCGACTGGGGGCCGTGCCTGCTGGGGAAGCTGCCCCAGGGACTGCAGCACTTTTCTTCACCATGCTGCTGGAGGTGGTCTTTGAGCGACTCGAGTCAGCTGTAAAGGTAGGAGTGAGAGACGCAAGCGTTCAGGGGGCAAGAACAAATGGGGGGAGCCTTAAAGTCATGGAAGAGGTGGGGTTTAAGTTAGGGTTCCATAAAGAGGGATGGGGTATTACCTGGCACAGACTTCGTAACCGTCTTCTTGACGTCTGTGGGTTTTCCCTCAGTCTTGATGCCTGAACAAACACACACTTTTTAATGTAACGTTTAACAAACTGACCGACTGGCTCGCTGGCTCATGCAGTACTGAGATTCCCGCATTCACTCAGCCATTTCTGAACGGCCCCTCTGAGCCAGGGGCCGCGCCGGTCTCTAAGGACAAAGCAGAGCATTATGCAGCCCCATGAAGACCGTGCCCTACGCAGAGCGCCAGGCCAGGCACCGCATCTTCTTCCGTCCCGGCCTAGACACGGCCTTCCACCGGCCTTAGAAACAGGTGATCAGCACAGCCTGCGGCACTGAGCGGCCCACTTCTCATCACGTAAGAGGCCTGTGACTGCGCTGTGCGGGAAGCTGCGGAGACTCCAAGAAAGGAGGAGTAAATCCTACATGGGAATTCCTGAGAGTCCCCTCTACTCGAGGTTCTTCCGAACACACCTCCCCGCTAACCTCCCACAGAGACCACAGCTGCCACTTCCCACACCCCCATGAGGACTGAGGCGCAGGCAGATCTGTGCGGCGTCATGTGGTGCTGGCCAGAGCTGCGACTGGGGCCAGGGCAAGGTGACAGTGCTCACCAGCAGGCTTCTTGGGCAGGGGCATGGAAGTGCTCCTGCTGCTTGGCCCCGCGGAGGCAGCAGAGGCAGCTGCCGTGGCTTTCGGAACAGTCTGGGTACTCTTGAAGCCAGGCCTGGGGACCGGAGCAGAGGCCGGCTTGGATGGCGTGGCTGGCTTGGATGGCGTGGCCTTCTTCTCAGGAATCTTTGCCTCTGCAGCAGGCTGACAACAGGAAAGTGGGAATGAGAGCTGCAGTCAGCCACAGCCCCCGGAAGTCGTGCCAAGGATGCTTCCACAGGTGCACACACTGGAAAACAGGGTGCTTTGGGGCCGGCAGCTACTGATGGGAAAATACGTGCGGTCCTGGGATCACAGCCCTCCAGAGAACGTGAGAAACTGGCCCTGTAGGGTGCTGTGGCACCGGGGAGCCAAACAACCGCAAGCCAACCTCAACTAATGAGAACGAAGGGCCCTGCAAAGTTTACCTGACCGTCCAGGTGCCCTGGGCTCTGTCTACTGCACTAAATACTGCTGCGTTTAATGTGTTAAATACATGACCGAGATGAACAAACACATAAACAGAACAAAGATTAAAAATCACATCCAGTCAAACTCAGCCCTCCTTGGGCTGAGATGCACCCAGGGGGTGAACAGGCCGGGCTGTGAACAGGGAGAACACCGGCCCCATCAGCTGGCTGGTGCCTGAGCTCCAGTCCCAGTCTGGGCCCCGACTCACATGTGTTCTTGGGCAAATCACTGACCTCTCTGGGCTCTGGTCCCGCACCCGGGTAAAGGAGGTGGGATCACGGGATCTCTAAGGCAGCTCTGATAACACGTGACGTTAGGGACTGAGAATGGAGATGATGGGGAGGGGCAAGCAGGGGTGCAGCCCTGACCAACAGAGGGACTGAGAAGCACAGATGTTACAGCTGTGACTGAAAGCGAAGAGAAGCCTCTCACATACGGATGCACCTGGGTCACTGTGCCATGGCGCCTAGACATGCTGTCACTACCAAGGAAGTGAAGGAATCAATTTAGCCTGGTTTCTACATGAACAGGGGATGAACACACTATTCTGATAAGCAAACGTACCATGTTACAAAAGAGAGTAGGCCAAACCACAGACAGTGGATCTAGACCTTTAACCCCAGGAGAAACGGCCACTCGAAGGACAGCATGCTGGTGGGGATACACAGGATATTGCACGTAAATGGAAAATCAGCTAAGGAGGTGCGCAGAAACGCAGGCCTGGCATTCAATTAAATAAAACCTAACCCTGCAAATGCAGGGTAATATCTGCTACTAAAAATGAAGTCCTGCCCTGGCAGGTGTGACTCAGTGGACTGAGTGTCAGCTTGCGACTGAACCACAGGGTCGAAGGTTCGATTCCCAGTCAGGGCACATGCCTGGGTTGTGGGCCAGGTCCCCAGTAGGGGATGCACAAGAGGCAACAACACAGTGATGTTTCGCTCCCTCTTTCTCCCTCCCTTCCCCTCTAAAAGTGACTAAATAAAATCTCAAACAAACAAACAAAGTCCCTAAGCAGGGTATGAAGAAACCTGAGGCTGGAATCAGAGGAACAGGCTCAGCTGCTAGCTCTACTCAGAACGTGTCTCAGGAGTCTGTGCCGAGGGGCTTCCTCACTGCTTGCCCCAGAACTGGGGGACGAACCAGATGCACCCTGAAGCTTCCTTCATATTCACTACACTGTGACTATGATTCAGAACAACCTAGTGGGGCCCCATCTGTTTCTTACCTAAAAGGACAAAGAACAGTAACCACTGCCATGCAGGCCACCTCTTCGGGTCAGCTGTAGCCTGAAGGATGTTTAAAAACTGGATGGCAGGAAGCCACGCAGCAACAGTGCCGATCGAGGGCCTGAGCACCAACACTGTTGGCACTGGACCCAAGCAAATACTGCCTCTGCCACTCACTGGCACTGAACTTTGGAAGGTTATATAACTGAGCTATACAACGAGGAGACTGGCACTCATTTTTATTTACATTACAGACCGAAATTTCACCAGACACCCTTCCTCCCTGCACCGCCCAGGGTGTGCTGCAGAGCATGTGTCTCGGGCAGCTGTGCCGTGGCTGTAGGCGCCTTCCCTCCAACCTCTTAAGTCTCGGAAACTGTTTTCTAAAACTCAAGAAAAGCAATCAACTGGATACATGGGGGTCCGAAAGCTCCACGAGATTCCATCATTCCTAGTCCATGAAAGGATTTAAACCTTGATTATAATCCCTAGGTTCCACCGGTTTTCTTTATAAGATTAGATTAAAACACGTGAGGTTTTAACATGGAAACGATTTCACAATGAGAATGTCAAGAAGACACTAGGCTGACATCAAGGCCCTTCTCAGGTGCAGTGAGATATTAAGGCAGGCACAGACTCCCCCCACCCTGTCCTCCTAGGATCACCCCAAGAAGCTAATGCTATTCCAAAGTGACCGTTTTCTGGGTGACATGTGGGTGACCTGGAAAACCGAAGAACTTCAGAAGCAGCTCAGTGAGAGGTAGCCTAACGCGAAAAGCAAAGTAAGTCATCGCACGCAGCTGGGATGGGCCGAGACAAGCTGGAAGAACTTATCACAAAAGCAATGGGCGAAATTCACTTCTGCAGAATGATTAATGAGGAAAGAGAAGGGGGTCTGGGAATGCGATGTAGGAGTCACAGCACAAGTGATCATCTATTAGTACGTGGAGAAGGGGACACTGGTCAGCCAGTGTGTCAATGGCGAAGGGTCAGGAGAGGCGGGAGGAGGGAGGAGAAACCAAAGGAGATGCGACACTGCCTCCAACAATGGCAGGCAAAGGTGAAAGGTACAAAGGGCGTTCAAGTGGCACCGCTGCACCATGGCCCTGAAACAGGGTGTCATGTCAGGTCACCTGTCCCCAGTCCCACAAGCCTGATTCCATCGTCTGGTAGCAACAAGAGCCTGTCTGTCTGACACTCGGAGGGAAAGCCTTTCCCTGCACAGAGCTCTGGGGGCCACTTACCTTGGGCTTCACGTCTTTTGAAGGAGAGATGGAGGGCCTGGCAGTGGTGGCGGCAGGGCGTTTGGGTGGGGCAGCTGGTGCCGAGCCTGCAGCCAGGCTCATGGGTTTTTTAGTCGGCCCACCCAAGGTGGTGGGAGCTGGCTGCTTAGGGAGAGGAGTGGGCTGTGTTTTGGCTTTCGATGTTGAAGTCTTTGCAGGCTGAGTTGTGGCCAAAGGCTTTAAGTTGATTTGTTGTTTTGTTTTTTAAAAAGGCCAACATCAAACACACAGACAAGAATAAAAACAAAATTTAAAAAAAGTATAAATTGCACAATTCAAAGCAAAAATGATAAGCAGTGAAGAGAGATGCAACTGAAAACCAGCAGCCCTTTTTTCTGAGCTCAGGAAAGAGGAGAAAGGCCCCAGGACAGAGGAGAAGAAAACCGGGAACAGTTTTTCAGTGATGGTGTCACATGCCCCAGCTGTGTGACCCTGGAAATTTAAACCCGGCAATAGCTGCTAATAATTCATTAACCTTAATTAGCTTCTGGTGGCTGTAATAATTCCACGAAAGAGTGACTGGCGGGTGGTTACGGTGCTGCTGCCCGCGCCTCACACCGGCAGGCTATCTGGCAGCCGCACTAAAGTGGCCCTTTGAACTTGGCCGTTGTACCAGTAAGTGCCTGAAGCTATGTAAAAATGTGTTCCCTTGCATGAGTACTGATTTCAGAATCTATTTCAAAAGAGTTCTGTAATTCCTTCTGCTGTTGGTGAAGCAGAAACTGCTGCTACAGAACATTCCTACGGATAGTCAAGATAGTAGGGTCAAAGGCAGAGATATTAAGGTTTGAGTTAGGCCATTTTGGTAAAACGGGAATATAAAATATTTTTAAAGCACATCCAAACTTGCGAAAGAACTAGTACCAACTCAGAAAAAAGACATTTCATTCAAGAATCAAACAATAATAGCTGAAGATACTATTAAAGAAAATTGCAGCGGTAAAAGATAACCCACCATTCTGGCAACTACCTTTGTTTTCTTCTCTGGGCTTGGTGGGAGCTCCTTGTTTGGAGGGGTGGTGATGTCATTTCCGGTCACACTCACAGTAGGTTGTCCTTCTTCTGGCTTGGATATTCCTAAAGGGTGGAAGTTAAGGCTAAGCAAAGGTTTTCACATCCATTCCCCAAATCGAGTCTTAGCAGAGACGGACAACTAAGCAGCACTTCATTCTGAAAAAACCCCACAGGGCTGTGCCACACGGCGGCACAGTGCACAAGACTCCCAAGCTCCCCCTTTGTGACGGAGGGCGGTTTTAGATTCCACAGATTCGGGCAGCCTGTCCCTGCGGAGAAGCAACCTAAGTGGGGTTTGCACAAACGATCAGGGGGAGGAAATGGCCCCTCAAGTTTGGTTTCCCTTCCCTGGGGATGGACAGGCAAAGGTTCTGTCACCCAGCCACTAACTCAACGGGCACACTGGGGACAAAGGCCTCTCCTACTAGAGTCTACCTCTGGAATAAAGGTTGCAGAGAGATGGGACAAGGGCCAGAAGATCATCCGATGTCCTCCCCTACTTCCTTTCCCTGTGTAAAGCACCACTTTCGGGAGGATGTGAGATTAACTCGATCTAATTCCAGCAGTGACCCAGATTTCCAACAAGGCTGAGGAGACCCGGGAAATCAGACCCGGAGCCAGAAATAAAGTCTACTGCCTCAGACTATGCCCAGCAGAACCATTTCGGGGGAGGTTACTCCAGATTTCAATAGGGCTACACCTAAAATCATTAAAATACTATTACATTTTTAACCAGGGCATAGGCAAAACCTTTCTAACTGGCACAAAATCCAGAAGCCACAAAAGTCACTTTGACTACAGAGAAAGAAAAACCTTCAATGTGGCTAAAATCACAAAGATTCAAAAGGCAGATGATAAACAGGAAAAAATATCTGAACCTCACATCAAAGGCAAAGAATCTATTACATAAATTACTCCTCTAAATCAGTAACTCCTATAACAGCCAACAACCCAGCAGAAAATTGACAAGAACATAAACAAGATTTACAGAAATACAAATCACTTTTGAAAATACGATGTCCAAACGTCAAGAAAAATAAAAATTAAAGCTATATGGAGATGCTATTTTTAACCTAACATATTGTCAAGTTTCCAAAATTCTAAAGGAACTGTGGAGGCAGTACAGCCACGGCGAGCGCTGCACACATCGCGTGTGCGGCCAAGTCTTGCCACAGCCCGGAAAATGCCAAGTGTAGGTAACTGTAATGCAGAAATCCCATTTCTAGAAGTTGACCTTACAGACACATTGACACACCTGCAGAAGAGCAAACACTACAGTCTTTTGTCAGCATTGTTTTTAAAAGCAAAGGACTGAAACAACGCAGGCGTCCCTTAGTAAGAAACCGGCTGTGTGAACGTAATCTACGAATGTGAAAAAGCAAGGCACCAAAAAATTATTTCATAACTGATACGGAAGAATGTCTGAGTGAATTAGAAAAAAGTAAGGCACAGAACAGTATATAAAACATAAAGCCACTTGTCTAGAAAAGAGATGAGGAAAATACATTTCTATTGCAAATACACCTGTACAAGCATTTTGAAAAATCTTTGGAAGAATCACGATGAAACAAAACAATGGTAGCTTAATTTGAAGGGGGGGGGGGTGGAACACAAAACTGGGGATGGTAGGAGACTTCATTTTAAAAACTGTTTTAAAATAATCATAGATTCACAGGAAGTTGCAAGGAACATACAGGGAGGTCGCATGTGCCCTGTGGCCACCTCCCCCAGGGCTGGCGTCCTGCGTAACTACAGTCCACCATCGAACCCAGGGAAACGGTCCTGGCACAACCCACAGAGTTTATCCAGGGTTTTCATTTGATATGGATTCATTTGTGTGTGTGCAGGCACCTGTGCACACCTGCGGTTCTAGGCAATTTTATCAATTTTATGTAACTATTACTAACAATCAAGACACACAACTGTTCCCACACCACAGGCCTCCCTCCCGTTCCCTTCTTGGCCACCGTCTTCCCAATCCCTAAACTCCTGGTCTCCATCTCTACAATATTACTTGAAAGACATTAGACCAACGGCCTCACAGTGTGCTACCTCTCGTGTCTGGCTTCTCCCTCCTGGCATAATACTTATGGGGTGCGCCGCTGTGACAGGCATTTCGAGTTAGTTCCTTCTCATTGCTGAGTGAGAGTCCCAGGTCAGGCTGTACCTCAGCCCAATCGGCCTCCCCCGGAGGACCTTCTGCTTGTTTCCAGTTGTTGGCTCTGTTACTCGGTGCATGTGCGTTCAGATGATATAGCGTGTGCTACGTCATCTTAGTGGGTCGGTCCTTTATTCGTTGCTGTGAAATCTACTTTATCTGATATTAATATAGCTAGCCACTGTTTAAAATATTGTTAGCATGATATGTTTATCTTTTTCAGGGATTTTTAAAAAAAATATTTATTTATTTATTTTTAGAGAGAGGGGAAGGGAAGGAGAAAGAGAGGGAGAGAAACATCAATGTGTGGTTGCCTCCTACGCATCCACCACTGGGGACCAGGCCCACAACCCAGGCATGTGCCCTGACCGGGAATCGAACTGACAACCCCTTGCTTCACAGGCCCGAGCTCAATCCACTGAGCTACACCAGCCAGGGCTATCTTTTTATTTTTAACCTACCTATGCCCTTACGTTTAACATAATTTCCCGCTTCTCCTGCTGCCCCGTGGGTTCCTTGGACTTTCAGGGCTCCGTTTCGATCTGTGGTGCACACTGCCCAGTTCTCTGGGCGGCTGCCTCAGTGACACGGCACACACAGCCACCCACACTCCTCCACGTCAGTGCACGACCGAAACACGCTCCCCACTTCAAAACTACAATGTCTTCAATGTTCCCTTTTCTATTAGATTCACACCCACTGTCACCAATTCCATTGTTCTTTGATTCCTGAAGCTCCAAGCCTCCTGCTGCTATTGTACCTTATCTTGTTGGAGAGCTTCCTCCAGCCGTTCTCAAGGCTTATCTCCTCGCACGCATTCTCTCAGTTCTCCTCTAAGAATGTCCTCACTTTCTCCCTTCCGTTCCTGAAGGGTAGTTTCACCAGATACAGACTTCATCCTCGACTGTTCTTTCCTTTTGTCACTTTCGCCACGGGCTACTGCCTGCGCCCTCCACGACTTCTGACAGGAACAGTCTTCTGAACTGCTGCTGCCCGATACACATTTTTCTCTGGTTGTGTATAAGGTTTTAAAATTTGTTCTTAGTTTGCAAGGTTATTGATAAAATGTCTTGGTATAGATTTCTTTGGGTTTTCCCATTTGGAGTTTGTTCATTTTCTTGAATTGGTTATGTCCTTTGATAAATTTGGGAAGTTTTCAGTCATTTTTTAAAATAATTGTTCAGCCTTATTTATATCTTGGGGTTTTCACTGCCTGGGATTCTGATGATACAAGTGTTAGGTCTTTTGTTATTGTCCCAAAGGTCTCGGAGGAGCTGTCATTTCTTTAGTCTACTTTCTCTCTCTTGTTCAGACTGAACACATTCCATTTCTGTCCTCAGGTTCACTGACTCTGTTCTGTAACATCTCCAGTCTACTACCGAGTCCATTAGACACATTTTAAATTTTGGTTATTGTATTTTTCCTACTTATAATTTCCATTTGGTACTTTAAAATAACATTTAATTGCTGATATTTTCTAGTTTTTCATTTGTTTCAAGAAAATGCATAAATGTTTGTTGAAAATCCAGTTTTGTACTTCAGCAGGTAATCACTGTTCAGACCTAGCTAGCAGGTTCTGGCTACAGTTTCAACAATTTAGTTTCCAGAGCCCACGCAGTATAATTCTGCCTCCTGTGTTCCAGCTCCAGGAAGTTCTCACTCAATCCTTGTTGCTCCTGCCTGCAAGGGCTCAAGGCACTTTGCTGGGCCACGTGGCTTCACTAGGTGGGAGTTAAGTGATGCCAGACATGTGGAAGGCTGAGTTTTTCCTGGCCTCTTCTCTGGCTACCCACTGCCGGCAGACTTCCTGTTAGATCTCTGCTGGTGCTGCTGGGAGTGGGAAGCCGTTACCTGGCCTTCTGCCGCTGGAGGAAAGGAAACCTAGGTAGATTTCCTAGTAGGAAGAAGGCCGGAAGACAGCAGGCCTAGAGGTGCCACTAGTGCTGTGACCTGGTAAGGGACAGGGAATGGGCCTCCCCGCCTGCGTGCAGGGATCCCACTGCAATGCTGCCAGGGGACCAGGCCTGTACCTGCTGCCGGACATGGAATGAACAACTGGGAGGCCCAGAGGCCCTGGTGAACTCTGCAGACACTGTGTCTGCCGGGGGGCTGCGCCCACTGCTGCTGCTGGCGATGGACAGGGAACTGCATCTATCGCTGCGTCTTTTACAGGGTTTTCCCTTTCCTGATCTTTCGGAGAGTGCAGAATTTTTTCTTTTTTAAAAGATGTTATTTATTTATTTTTAGAGAGAGGAAGGGAAGAAGAGAGGGAGAGAAACATCAATGTGTAGTTGCCTCTTGAGCACCCCCCTGGGCGCCCCCACTGGGGACCTGGCCTGCAACCCAGGCATGTGCCCTAGACTGGGAATGGAACCAGTGACCCTTTGGTTTGCAGGCCCTTGTTCAATCCATTGAACCACACCAGCCAAGGCAAGACTTTTCCTTTCTTCCCTTTTTCCCTTTTCTTCTTTCTCTCCCTTTTCCCCTATGCTTGTTGGTGACTTCAGGTTGCAGGATGATTAAAAAAAAAAAACAACAGGAAACTCACTGCGCTGTCTGTCTGTCCTTCCTCGAGTCCTGAGGTCCTTACCTAGTCCACCCTCTCCTTTCCACCTTTCTGGGGCCTTTCATGATTGTCTGCTGAATTATTTCAGAGGAGTTAGTTCTATTTACTTGAAAGAAACAGGAAAACTGAATCAATGCCATCTTGTCTTGGTAGGTGATTTTCTAATGTATAGAATTTTGTACTTTGTGATGTTTGAAATCCTATGTATCTTCAGTCAACAACTGAATTTTGTTCAGTTCTAAAAATGGGAAGAAAGGGAAAAGGCCCCATCACTCAGAGTCGGTAACTGCCTTTGTTCTCCAGAAGCTGAAGGAGCATCTCACCGAGCGTGTGACCTGC